TCAACAAAATCATCCCACGGACGGATACTGCGAACATGAAAAAACTCATCGAAAAGGCCAACTTGGTCCGATTGATCAAAAATGCTGCGAACAAGTAAAAGGTGGTTAGACCCTCAAGCCCTCACGTCGTATAGAAGCCCGGGGTGAGGTAGCCTCGGCTGCGGCGAGAGAGTCTGCCACCACCCTCTTGCAGTGCGAAAAAGTCATGACGAGGTCACAACTTTCTAGTAAAGAAATGCAATTCAAAGCTTGGTCGTGAGAATTTTTTCGCCTCGTTGCAAGCATCTACTACTAGCATAGTTAATGAGCCATGCGAGTTTGTATATAACCGGTGGAGTTGATACATTTACGGGGTGGGAGTCGTCCTCTACTCGGTAAAAACGTTATTACTGTGCTTGCATTTTACAACCTGTCATCCAAAAATATTGGCTTTGTCGTGTCTCTATGAACGAAATCGAATGCATGTGAGGCCCGTACGGCAGGCAGCTATGTAGTCAGTCGGTGACATGGTGTCACTACATCGTCATGCTGGGTCGAGAGAAAGTGTTGGGATGCCCTCAGCATGTTGCAGTCGATGGTAGAAGGCAATCTTCCACCGCGGAATAAACACCTCGATGCTGAAGTACATTCTTTGAGTTGACACCTCAAGCCCGACTGAGCAGAGCGAAACTAGATTGTCTACGACTTACGCTGGGAAAAACGTTACTGATATTTAACGCTTCGTTGAATTCATTATTCGCACATACATCATCAAACGGTCTTATTCTCAGCCAGTTAAAAACCCTTTTATTATTAATAATCACACTACAAACCATAGCTAACCACATATTAATAACCACAATCCATTTGCGGATCATGTACGCCAGGGTTACGCACAAACATATTGTATTTTAATTGGGGACCTTGCTCGAGGTCAATCAATAATTTGTTTATTGACAATTTTTTATCACTCAACTCCCTGTCGAGTACGACGCTCTACCTGCTGAACGGCAGATGCAACAAGCTGGGGGTCCCATAAAATACGATTATACTAGAGGAAGAGAAGGGTCTCCAGCGTGGTTGGGTGCATCGCCCGCCGATTAACAGTAAGCACCAAGCCTGCCCGTGAGAAGAGTCTCTCTACTTCATTAGAGATTGAAGGAATCCAGTCCAGGGCGATATAGCGAGAATGATGCAGTTGGGTCGTATCACGAACTGCACGATCAGCAAAGGATTGACCGACATCTTCGTCTGCATCTTCACGGTCGTTGCCGTGCGTGTCCACCAGGCGACTTATAGCCTTCAGGAAATTGCAGAATGAGGATACTTTTAACAGCTTACATTTGGAGTACGTAGGTGTTAGCCTAGCAGCTAGGATTCTCACGGGAAAGCTCCCAGACGTGCGCCATGATACGCAAGAAGAAGGGTACACTAAACGCTCCTGAAGTCAAGCCATTACATTGTCCATAGAATGCAAGAAACAAGGTATTTAGCCAGCAGCATACACGAATCTTTTTTGAATGCAATTGGTACCGCGCTCAAACAATAATTGTATGCGGTTTTATTGGAATAATTGAAACACCAATTGTTTGTTACGCAACCCTGATGTACGCATTATGAATTCAACGATGTAGTATATAGTATGTAGTGCTAGACAAAGCCGTGTAAGTTACAATTTTAAAAAATGAGCAGCCAATAAGAATCTACCATCCGACTTGGTCTTAACCCTTTAAGCAGTTCTATTTTTCCCTTAACCGTTTCGCGATAAAAGGAAGCAGAATGCGCCCTTTTCCTTGTTTTCAGCTAAGTACGACGATGTATCCATGTTAAAGGAGGCAAAATTACTCCTTTTCAAATTAAGTACGTTTACGACAGGTCGTTTTTGCCATAGAGCAAATCACACTTGGAAGATTTGAAGGTGGTCCATCACTCGCCTTAAAGGAGGCAAAATGCCTCCTTTTGT